TTCCATGCTTTTAGATACCTGTCCATTTCTTTTAGGTTTTCAAATTTGGTAGTGTATAGTTTTTTAAAGTATTCCCTTATAATGTTCTGTATCTTTCTGGTGTCTGTTGTGATGTTTCCCCTTTCATCTCTGATTTTGTTGATTTGGGTTTGGGTTTTGTTTGCTGTTGCTTTTCAAGTGTGTTGAGTTGCAGTGTTAAGTCATTTATTTGTGTGCTTTCTGATTTTTTGATGTAGGCACTTAGAGCTATAAACTTCCCTCTAAGACTTTCACCATGTCCCAGGGGTTTTGTTGTGTTGTATTGTCCTTTTCATTTAGTTCCAGAAATACATTTATTTCTTTTCTAATTTCTCCTTTGATCCATTCATCATTCAGGAGTGTGTTGTTTAATCTCCATGTGTTCATGTAGTTACTAGGGCTTCTTCTGGTGCTGATTTTAAGCTTTATTGCATTATGGTTTGATAGAATGCATAGAATTATTTCAATCTTTTTGTATTTGTTGAGGCTTCTTTTGTGCCTCAGTATATGGTTGATTTTGGAGAAAGTTCCATGGGGCACTGAATAGAAAGTATTCTTTGGTGCTTGGGTGGGATATTTGCTAGATGTCTGTTAGGCCCATTTGATGTATGGTATTGTTTAATTCAGATGTCTCTCTGTTAATTCTCTGTCCTGTTGACCTATTTAATGGCGACAATGGGGTATTGAAGTCCCCTATTATTAATGAGTTGGGATTAATCTGGGTCTTAAGTCCTGTAGAACTATTTTTATGAAGTTAGGCGTACCAGAGTTTGGTGCATGATTCTAATATCTTCTTGGTCAATTGTTCCTTTGATCAGAATGAAGTGGCCCTCTTTATCTCTTCTGATTAGTTTTAGTTTGAAGTCTATTTTGTGATATTAGAATTGCAACACTTGCTTTTTCTTTAGTACCATTCGTTTGGTATATTCTTTTCCATCCTTTCACCTTAAGGTAGTGCTTGTCCTTGAAAGTGAGATGAATTTCTTGCAGACAACAAAAAGATGGATTTTGTTTCTTAATCCATTCAACTAGTTTGTGTCTTTTGACTGGGTAAATCAGTCCATTGATATTTAAAGTTATTAACGACAGATGTGTACATACTTGGTGTAGCAGTGCATTTCTACAATTTTACCTTCATTAAGTTTCGTTCTGTAACCCGTTGGATATAGTTGTTCCTTTCTTCTGCTCTTTGTATTGCTTCAAGAACTCTCTGAAGGGTTGGTTTTGTGGACATGAATTCTTTCAGCCTGTTTATGTCTTGGAAGATTTTTCTTTCCCCTTTGACTATAATAGACAGTTTGGCTGGGTAAAGAAATCTGGGTTGGCATCTGTGGTCATTTAGAACTGGTAGTACTTTGGTCCAGGCTCTTCTGGCTTTCACAGTTTGCACTGAAAAGTCAGCTGTAATCCTAATGGGTTTTCCTTTATATGTGACTTGTTGTTTTTCTTTTGCAGCTTTCAGTATTCTCTCTTTGTTCTGTATGTTTAGTGTTCTAAATGCTTCTTGTATTTGTATGGGCATGTCTTTTTTTTAATTTTGGGAAATTTTCTTCCACATTCCTGTTGAAGATTTCGTCCATATCGTTATCCTGAGATTCTTCTCTTTCCTTTATGCCTATGATTTGTAAGTTTGGTCTTTTTATAGTGTTACACAATTCCTGCATATTCCATTCTTGTATTTTTAAAAATTGTTATAATCTTTGCTTGAGTGGTCTAATTCATCCACTTTATCTTCCAGTCTTGATACTCTGTTTTCCATTTCATTTATCCTATTGGTGAGGCTTTCTCCTGTCGTTTCTAGTTGGCTTATTGAGTGTTTCACTTCCTTCTTCATTTTAGCCTGATTATTCTTCAGTATTTCTCACTCTTCTGAATTCGTTCAGCAGTTTACCCCAATCTTCTTTCAGTTCTTTGATTTCTTTGTTTGTGTGGTCTTTAAATTCATTGAATTCTTTTATCATGTTTATAATTGTTCTTTTGAATTTCATGTCCTGTATTATATCCAGGGTGTTCTTATTACACTCCTCTACAGGAATGTTGGTACTTGGTTGGGATATATTATTTGGGTTTTTCATGTTGTTATTTTTTTGCTGTGAATTTGACATGTGGATTTCTTTTGTAGCTTCTGATTCTTTTGTGAGACCCAAGCCTTCCTTTTGTTGAGTTAAGGTCTGCTTCTTTTTGTAAATTTTGTGGTTTTTGTCGGGCATGAAAAGCTGGTTGGACTAGGCTTCAGGTTCTCTTTTTTGGTTATGTATTGGAGGGGCCAAATTGATTTTTGTCTTCCTGCTAAGGAGGTCCCACAGAGTCCCAAGTTAGATTAGGATCAGATGCTCTCAGGCTTTCTCCAAATGTCTGGATCACTCCAGGAAAGATGCTGGTTCCACAAAGCTGAGGAGCTGGGCCACCCAGAGACGCAAAAGGAGGCAGGGATGGGAAGAGGCCCTGAGGGCTCCCAGGGACTACAGGGAGAAATTTGGTTGGTCTAGGTTCAAAGGATCAGGAAGCAGTGGGGAGTCTTGGCCAAGAGGTCAGTCCAGAGGTTTGGGGTGCCAAGACAAGAAATGGGCCAGTGTCCCTGCTAAGAGGAGAGGTGTGGTGGGGGAGTTGGGAGGGTGAATAAGGCTGGGGGAGTCAAGGAGCAGTGGGTGCCACCAAACTTACCCAGGAAAGCTGCTGGGCCCAGGAAGCTGTGCAGTCTGCACTTCAAAAATTTATTATTTTTATTTTATGTATATGAGTGTAAATACATCCATGTTGTCCAGTGCCCATGGAGGTCAGAAAGGGGCATTAGATCCCCTGGAACTGGAGTTATAGATGGTTAGCTACCATGTGGGTATTGGAAATAGAACCTGGGATCTCTGTAAGAGCAGCAAGTGCTCTTAACTGCTGATTCATCTTTCCAGCCCCAAGGCAGTTTCTTAAACCCAGAGCTTGCCAATATGACTAGTCTCACTAGCTAGCTTGTTCCAAGGATCTCTTTCCTGTCTCTGTTTATGTCTCTGTCTCTGTCTCCGAGAGGAATTATATTTGGGATACAATTCTCACTTTGCATCTGAACTCATAGCAAGCACTTTAATTGCTGAGCCATTATCCCAGTCCTGCAGTAGCTTTTTAATTACGTGTTGGTAATACTATTTAAGTTATTAAGTATTTATTGAATTTGTGCCAAGAGACTAGCACATTGAAACATACAACCATTAAGTTGAAAAAAATATTAAGTATTATTAATCTTGCTCTTGATTTTTTGTTGTCTCATGTTCTAGCTTTACTATTTTGCTGTTCTGCTGTAGTCATTCTTTTTTATGTCTTAGCTTTACCAAATACATTATGATCTTGGTTTTTTGAGTTCTGTGTGTACAGCAGTTTTATGTTCAATTTCTTATGTGCACTTATAAACATTATGCTTTCCTTTTGTTTCTCTAACTGTACTGTTAATCTAAATATATTTATCCAATTATTCTGTATCTCTTCATTTAACTTCATTGAAAAGTAGTTAAAAATACCTGAAAGTTATTTGATATATACACATAGTCATTTTACATGTGTGTATATTCTTATGCTGAATATAAGTCTTTTGGGGGGGGGGGATTTTTGAGACAGTGTCTCCCTGTAGTGGGACTGGCTTGGAACTCGTTATGTAGACCAGGCTCTTCTTGAACTTCCAGAGATCTGCCTGCCTCTGCCTCCCAAGTACTGGGATTAATTCTATTCCAAGTGCCTAAAATAGTTCCAGATACATAATAGACATTTAGTAAATACTTAGTAGATTAATGCATGAATAAAATAATTTTGCAAGGCAAGATTTATTGATTGTTGAGTAAACACATGCTAACAAGTGATGCAAATATAATTTAGAATTTTTATGGGGAAAGGTTGGCTTATTGTAGTAGGAAGAAATAAATTCACTAAGCACAAGAAAATATAAAATAACAGTTATGCTATTATTATATTTGCTTTTGTAAGCCCCTTCAAATCTTGTGGATTGAGGCAAGTTATTACTATATGTTAAAATGTCTTATTAAGAGACTAGAGTGACAATAGACAATATTCATTTTGTTGCTATTTTCCATTATCTTACATGTTTCCTGTGCCAGGGAAACATCATAGGGGCACTCTTTAAATTTTTTTTTATATTTCATTTATTTTTTTCATTTTATGTGTATGAGTGTATTGCCTGCATGTATGTAAGTGCACCTGTGTCGTGCAGTGCCGTGGAGGTCAGAAGAGGGCTTCGGATTCCCCTGGAACTGGAGTTAAGGACGGTTTGTAGCTGTCATGTGGGTGGCTGGGAATCGAACCTGGGTCCTCTTCAAGAGCAGTCAGTGCTCTTAACTGCTGAGTCATCTCTCGAGCCCCGGCACTCTTTAAATTTTTAAAAAACGTGTGTGTGTGTGTGTGTGTGTGTGTGTGTGTGTGTGTGTGTGTTGTGTGTGTGTGTGTGTTTGTGCCATGGTGCACGTGTGGAGACCAGAGGACAGCCCACAGGAGTCAGTTCTCTCCTTCCTCCATGTGGGTTCCTGGGATCAAATTCCAATTGTCAGGCTTAAGTCAGTGTCTTCAACTGCTGAAGCATCTCACTGGTTGCATTATTGGCACCTCTTGATATCTTTCTAGTAAATTATTATGTTATAGGATTTAAAAAAATGTTTTATTTATTATTTTTAATTTTATGTGTATGCATGTATTACCTGCATGTAGTTAAGTGCACCCATGTTGTGCAATGCACACGGAGGACAGAAGAGACTGTTGGAATCCCTGTTAACTGCCATATGCATGCTGGAATTCAAACCCGGGTCTTCTGCAAGAATAGTCAGTGTTCTTAACTGCTGAGACATCTCTCCAGCCCCTGTTATAGGATTTTTATTATTCAAAGTTGTGTGGATTTATATACAATGATTACATGTTTAAATTTAGTGATCTATTCAAAGTTTGAAGAAAAGTATAGAAAAAGTCTGATTCTTAAACTTTTTATATTCCAGAAAATGGTAATTGCTTTTGAGGAACTTCGTGTGCAAGCTGAGAATTCTAGACTGGAAACGCATTTTAAATGTAGGAGTCCTATTTAATTTTAATGTTACATTTTGCTATTTATATTTTTATTAGATTTAATTAGAATGTTCATTCCTTCAGCTTAATGCTCTCAACTATTTTACATTTCACATTATCTCATCTTTTTTGTAAGTCTCTCAAAATCTTGTGAATTGTGACAGGGGATTAATACATATTCAAAATATTGTTTGGGCTTAAAACTGTATTTTCTATGAAATTAAATCTATTATGGCTTATATTTAGCTTTTTAGAAGTATAGTTTTGTCTTATATATTTCTTGGTAAAGTATATATACTATATATTGTATAACATATATAAGATTTGCTCTTTTAGATTAGTGTGTTGTAAAGAATAAAGTTTTATATAAGTTCTGCTATAAGATCTACAGAATTTTGGAGTTGGGGATTTAGCTCAGTGGTAGAGGACTTGCCTAGCAAGCATAAGGCCCTGGGTTCGGTCCTCAGCTCCCCCCCCCCAAAAAAAAAACTACAGAATTTTAAGCTATGGATATTATTTAATTTCACTATTTTATCAAACAAAATTAACAGTAAGAAAATAAATATCAGTTTTAACTTATCAGAAACTTTTGAGGTTTAGTATAATTTTGAGATAAATATGGAAGTGAAATAATTTTTAAACTTTATTGGTAATAGAAAAGTTTTATAATTATGATAAAACATTATGGTATATTTATTTTACTTTTAAAGTAAAGGAAGATTATGAAAAAATCCAACATCTTGAAGAAGAATATAAGAAGGAAATTAATGACAAGGAAAATCAGGTTTTTATTTTTTATTTTTATTTATTTATTTTGTATTTTAATTTTATGTGTATGAGTGTATTGTCTGCGTGTGTGTAAGTGTACCTGTGCCGCGCAGTGCCTACGGAGGTCAGAGGAGGGTGTCAGATCCCCTGGAACTGGAGTTACAGACAGTTGTTAGCTGCCATGTGGGTGCTGGGAATCGAACCCAGGTCCTTCGCAAGAGCAGTCAGTGCTCTTAACTGCTGAGCCATCTCTCCAGCCCCTATATTCTTTTTTAACATATAATTGTAATTTTTTTTAACCAACACGTAGTGTTTGTGCATTTTAATGAGGTACAGTGCAATGTTTTGATTCTTGTCCACATCAAGTTGTGATCAGTTTAGGGTAATTAGCATTCCAATCAGTTAAACTTTATAATGAGTACATTTAAATTCTTTTAATTATTCTGAGATATAGTTCTGTATTCTTTATATTTGCTAATTCATAAAATATTTAAAATTTCAAAGAAGAGTTTGTATTTGCCAACATAAATTTATGAAAAATTTTTAATATTTAGTTTCTATCCAAATATTTAGCCTTTTGCCTTGTCAAATTTATTTTCATGATTCAGATATGCACTCATTGAAGACTAGCTTTCAGTGGTTTTGAATCAGTGAATCTACAATATTTATATCAGTTTACATTGCTGAAAAAATATTTTTGAGAAATTTTGTTTAAAAAATCCCTAATAAAATGTGAAGATGATCATTGGCAACCCAATTCACATTTTTAAATTTTCTTTTTCTTTTTCTTTTTGGTCTTTTTGAGACAGGGTCTCCCTGTAGCCCCAGCTGTCCTGGAACTCACTATGTGGACCAGGCTGGCCTTGAACTCACAGAGATCCGCCTGCCTCTGCCTCCTGAGTGCTGGGATTAAAGGCGTGCGCCACCATGCCCGGCCCCCCAAGTCACATTTTTAAAGTTTATTTTGAAATTACTATCTGTAACACCAGTAAAAGGAACTACTAAAACATTCTGTTGATTCTTTCTATTAATAATCACATAGTGGGAAACTTGAAAATGGTATGCCTGTATTTTCTGATGTTTGCAAGAATATGTATTTTAGATTTTATTATGTCTTTTCTTTAAACCTTCTTCTCAAATAGAAAGTGATATATAAAAATGTATCCTATTCTGTTTCTTATCTTCTCTGAATTGCTAGAAGATATCATAGTTAAGAAGTATATATGCTTTTGCATCTTAACTTTATTTTTAAACCAAATTCTCAAAAGAAAAAGGTCTGTGAAGAAAAGTATGTAAAAAAGTTTGTAAAATAATTATAGGTGAGTATAAGTGCTAAAGTGCTATATTTAGCTTTTTACCTTTGTACTGTTTTAAAATTTTTATTTTAGGTATCACTATTATTGATACAAAATGCCGAGAAAGAAAATAAAATGAAAGATTTAATATTAGTGCTAGAGGAATCCAGAAATAAAATTAACCAATTGGAGGAAAAGACAAGTAAGAATTTTTATAAGAATACAATGTATCTTATATATTCCTCTTATGATTTTCTAAATTTTAACTGTTGTCACAAATTTTTTATGATACGTTTTAGTACTAATATCTTAAACTTGGGTTGGATCAGTTGGAAGAGGGCATCATTGAATCACTCGACAACTTTTTCAAAGTACATACGCTTCTCTTTTTCCTTTTTCATACTTTTAACCTTTTTCAAAGTTTCAACAACATGCAGGAAAAAGACACTAATTTTCAGTTGCTTTGGACAGTGCATTATATTTTCTGTATTTAGGATGTACAATGGGATGTTTTGATTAATATGCACATGGGGTATTGGTCACCTCTGGCAATTAGCATTTCTGTCATCGTTTCTTTATAGTGTGTCCATTCAAATTCTTTTCTGTTCATTGGTTCATTACAAGTGCTTAGAACAGTGCTTGAAACAAATGAAGCAATCAGATATTTCATAAATAATGAATCCTGTGGGAAAGGCATGAAAGAAGTTACTAGCTCTTTTCAGAATAAGACATTTGGAAAGGCATTAGGATAACACTGTTGACCTGTTCCTTGATTAATAGTTCATTAGAGAGATCTTGGGGGAGACGGTAAAAAGCCGTGACTTGTGCAAGTCAAAGAAGTGTGAAGGTAAAAGTATACTTGTTATACTGAGTGATGTGGCTATGTCTTAGAGAACTCAGGCAGATGAGATGAGACGTAAGTGTATCCATTTATGAAGGACTTTGAATGTCTTAGTACTGAGATTTTTCAAAATATATTCAAGTGTCACAACAATTTTGAGACATAATATACTGGGTAAAACATGATGCACCTTCCAAAACACAGTAAAGATTTGTTATTTTTCTATTCTGTGATGTTTTGATTTGTTAGCCTTTAACGGCTGTGCCATCTCTCTAGCCCTGTTTTTCTATTCTTGAAAATATTTTTTCAATGATAAATAATTATCTGGTTCTTGCTAACTTATGCTTGCTAATTTTACTTTATACTTACTGCTTTATTACTGTTACTACTTTATTTTGAAAGTTATTGAAATTGTTTTACTTTTGCTACATTTTATATATGTATATATATTTGTATATAATTGTGTTCATGTGTATATGCATGTTTGCACCATGTGTGTTTGTATGGAGGTCAGAAGTTGACACTGTCTTCTTAGATTACTCTGTACTGTATATGTTGAGGCAGGGTCTCTCACTTAAACCCAGAACTCACCAATTCAGGTAGCCTGGCTAGCTAGCTTGCTCCAGGGATTCCCTCTCTCCACTTCCTGAACACTGGGTTTACAGGTGGGCTTTTAACTCTGATGTTCTGAACCTTGATCCTCATGCTTGAGCAGCAAGCGTTATACACACAGAGCCATTTTTCTGGCCCCACATTTTGTATTTTTTTTTTTATGTGTATAAGTGTATTGCCTGCATGTAGGTAAGTGCACCCGTGTCGTGCAATGCCCACGGAGGATAGAAGAGGCCGTTGGATCCCCTGGAACAGGAGTTACAGACGTTTGTTAGCTGCCATGTGGGTGTTGGGATTTGAACCTGGGTCTTCTGCAGGAACATCCAGTGTTCTTAACTGCTGAGCCATCTCTCCAGCCCCTACATTTTGTATTCTTATCTCACCTAATGCTTTTGACTGCTTCCTCTACCCAAAATGTGCCCCTTACTTTAAATTTGTTTGTTAATTTCTTTTGTACTTGCCCACCCTCTTTTTTAGTAAAGTCCTAAGCATTATTTTTCTGTCTCCTATGATTGTGTCTTGAGGCACTATGTCTTAATAAATATCTTTGTGACTTTAGTGCATAGTTTGATGGCTAATCCTGGGTGTCAACCTGACTGGATCTGGGATTAACTGAAACGAGAGAGATCTTCTTGATTGGATCATCTGAAGCTGGAAGACACACCCTAAATGTGGGTATGACCTTCTGATGGCAGCCCCTACAAAAGGCCATGGCAGAGGAGAGCGCTTGCTTTTTGCTGCTTGCCTTCTCTCTCATTTGTGAATTCCTCTTGCTGCTCTAGACTGAAGACTAGCCAATCTTTGGGAATTCATCAGACCTTCAGTGCCAGATTGGGACTACTGAGACATCCAGCCTTGTGGACTGAGCAACTGCTGGATTCTCAGCCTCTCCAGTGTGGTGCAGCCATTGTTGGACTACTCAGACTCTATCCTGTGAGCTAATCTGATAAATCCCTATATGCATTCATTCTACTGGTTCTGTTTCTTTAGAGAACCCTGACTAATACAGATTGTGGTACCAGGAGTGGTTCTAGAGAAACAGAATTGAAAGGATGAATTTCTTTAATGGGCTTGTTGGTATCTGAAGCAGGCTCTCCAACTCGGAGTCTTCAGGTAGTATGGAGAACACTGAAAATCCATGGTGTAGACTATTTGAAACAATTAGGAAGATAAACACATTTGAGTCGTTTAACTCACCTCTTGTGAGGAGCAAGGAATTTAGTGATTCTATAATGAAACATTTGACAATTTGTGGAAAAATAAGAAAAATAATGATGTTGGCTAGTTACTTCTAGCATCTCTGGATAAAGTGATCGAGATAAACGACAAGCTTAATGATAAAATTTACCAGCTCCAGATTCAAATAAACACTTTAAAAGCTGCCAGGTGTGCCCTGGAAGAGAATCTCTCTAGCAGCCAGAGAGCTAATGCTGCAGAAAATCAAGCTGGAGCCCTTACACATTTGGCTGACCTACAAAGCAAATTTAATTCCCAGCCTTGAAGAGTGTCAGCAGTAAAGGTGAGGGCACTGATAGGGAAAGATTGGAATCCTGCCTGACACATGGGATAGAAATGTGTGGGGAACCCTGATGAGGATTTTGAATCCTCAGACTCTGAGGAATTTACTTCACCTGATGAATTAATCTCCCCACCCTTTGCAGAGAATGTATTCCCACAAACCTGCAGACCCATCCTCCCCACCCTTGCCTGAGGAAACTAATCCCATTCAGCAAGACAAAGCTGATGTCCTTCAGGGCTCAGTTATTGTTGCCTCTAGACCTATAACTAGACTCAAAGCTAAACAGACTCCTAGAGGAGAGATAGAAAATGTGGTCCAGTGAGGAGGTGCACCACACCACTAAAGAACTTAGTGAATTTGCTAATTCATTCAAGCAGAAGTCTAATGAATATGTCTGGGAATGGATTTTTAAGGGTATGGGACGATAGTGGAAGGAACATAAAATTGGGTCAGGCTGAGTTTATTGACATGGGTCCCCTGACTGGAGATTCTAGGTTTAATATGGAAGCTCGTGCAGTTAAAAAAGGTGTTAAAAGTTTTTTAGATTGGTTGGCCAAGGTATCTATCAAAAGATGGCCTACTGACAGAGAGCTGGAGATGCCTGATATCCCTTGGCTTAGTATTGATGAAGGGATTGTAAGGCTCAGGCAAACTGGCATGCTGGAGTGGATTTGCAGTTCAAAACCAAATCCTCCACAGTGGGAGGGCCCAGAGGACATTCACCTTTTACTAATTTTATTTATTTATTTATTTATTTATTTATTTATTTATTTATTTATTTATTTGGTGGCACAATAAATTTCACTGGACTTGCTTACATGGGTATCAGAAGGGGTTTGTTTACAGGAATGTAGGTATCTTAACAGTGGCTACAGTTCTGAAGATGTTTGGTCACCTGTGGTGTGCAATGCCCTCGGAGGACAGAATTGGCTGTCGGATCCCCTAGAACTGGAGTTATGGACAGTTGTTAGCTGCCATGTAGGTGCTGGGATTCAAACCCAGGTCTTCTGCAAGAAGAGTCAATGTTCTTAACCGCTGAGCCATCTCTCCAGCCTTGCTTTTACTGATTTTATAAGATGGAAAGTACTGAGAGACTCACCAGAACATTTGAAGAACTTTGTTTTTGCTTTTTTCCTTATGCCACATCTTACAGTTGGTGATGCTGCTGCTCAATTGCATAAATTAAATGTAAATATAATAGGTGTAACAGGACCTCGGAGTAGGGGTCAGGTGGTGGTATTGAATTGCCAAAGACAAGGTGAGCATACCTATTGTAATGGGTGGCAAAGGCAAAACAATACCTATAATGGCATGACCTGAATGGATCTTTGGTACTGGCTAATCAATCATGGTGTTCCCAGGGACCAAGTACATAAGAAGCCTACTAATTTTTTTTTAATCTGTATAAACAGAAGAGCTCTAGGACAAATGACAGGAAGTCAGTATTAGATCATAGCAATAGAGAATCCCGCTCAGTCAGCCAATTTCCAGACTTGAGACAGTTTACAGACCCAGAACCCCTTGAATAAAGGGAAGGCCGGATGCCCTTGAGGAAGGCCCTTGTTTGGTACTGTATACCAAAGAGTTATGCTGTTTGTCTTTCCCTCATCCTTCCCCAGAGAGACCTGCGGCCTTTTACTAGAGTAACTGTACATTGAGAAAAAGGAAATAATCAGACTTTCCGCGGCCTATTAGATACTGGTTCTGAGTTGACACTGATTCCGGGAGACCCTAAAAAGCATTGTGGCCCTCCAGTTAAAGTAAGGGCTTATGGAGGTCAGGTGGTAAATGGAATTTTGGCTGAAGTCCGACTGACTGTGGGTCTAGTGGACCCCCAAATTCATCCTGTGGTTATTTCTTCAGTACCAGAATATATAATAGGGATAGATACACTTAGGAATTGGCAGAACCCCCACATTGGTTCCCTGACCTGTGGAGTGAGGGCTATTATGGTTGGAAAGGCCAAATGGAAAGCCCTGGAATTACCTCTGCCAGGGAAAATAGTGAACCAAAAACAGTATTGCATCCCTGGAAGGATTGCAGAAATTAGTGCTACCATCAAGGATTTGGAAGATGCAGGGGTGGTGATTCCACCACATCTCCCTTTAACTCTATTTAGCCTGTGCAGAAGACAGATGGGTTATGGAGACTGACAGTTTACTATCAAAAACTTAATAAGTAGTGACTTCAATTACAGCTGTTATATACCAGATGTGGTTTCCTTACTTGA